TGACCTCTTTTCTTTCCCTACAGTTCTGAATGTGACATAAATGGAAACATACAATAGGTAGCCTCTGTATCTAGCTTCTTTCATTCAGCATAAAATACTTTGAAATTAAAAAAAAAAAAAACTTTGAAATTTACCTGTGTTGCTATTGCATGCATCAGTAGTTTGTTCCATTTTACTGACAAGCAGTATTCTACTCAATGAATGTACCACAATTTGTTTATCCATTTACCAACTGATGGACTTTTGGGTTGTTTACAATTTGTTATGAATAAAGCTGCTATGAACATTCACAGTCAGTCTCTGTATGGACATGTTTGCATATTCCTTCTGTAAACAATTAGCAGAAGGACTGCTTCACTGTATAAAAAGTATATGCTTAACGTTTTAGTCAGCTATCAACCTGTTTCCCAAAGTAGCTGTATTCTGAATTTCAATCAGCAATATATGAGATTTCCAGTTTATTTATTTATTTATTTATTTATTTATTTATTTATTTATTATGGCTGTGTTGGGTCTTTGTTGCTGCACGCGGGCTTTTCTCTAGTTGCGGTGAGTGCGGGCTACTCTTCGTTGTGGTGTGCGGGCTTCTCTTGCTGCGGATCACGGGCTCTAGGTGTGCGGCCTTCGGTAGTTGTGGCACACAGGCTCAGTAGTTGTGGCTTGTGGGCTCTAGAGCGCAGGCTCAGCAGCTGCAGTGCATGGACTTAGGTGCTCCGAAGCATGTGGGATCTTCCCAGACCAGGGCTCGAACCCATGTCCTCTGCATTGGCAGGCAGATTCTTAACTACTGTGCCACCAGGGAAGCCCCGATTTATATTCTTTTCCACACTTAATATTCTCGGTTTTTGTCACCCTAGTGAATGTGTAGTATCTCACTGTGTTTAATCTGCATTTCCCTGATGATGCTGAGCATCTTTTCATGTGCTTATCTGCCATTCTTATATCTTCTCTGAGCAAGTGTCTGTTCAAATCGTTTGTCCATTTTTAAACAATTGGGTTGTCTCATTACTGAGTTGTAAAAATTCTTCATATATTCTGCCACACAAATTTTTTATCAGAACTCCTTTGCCAGTCTGTGACTTGTTTTTTCACTTTCTTAACAGTGTCTTCTGAATAGGAAAAGTTTTAAATTTTTAGAAAGACCAATTTATCATTTTTTAAAGTGACTCTTGCCTTTTGTGTCCTAAGAAATCTTTACTCAAAGTCACAATAATTTTCTAAAACATTTTCTTTTTAAGGTTTTATACTTTAATTTTTACATTTAGGTCTATAATCCATTTCAAGGTAATTTTGTATATGGAGTGAGATAAGGGTCAAGATTCACCTTTTGGCAAATGGATGCCCAATTTTTCCTGCACCATTTGTTGAATGGACTCTTGTCCCTACTGAATTACTCTGGCATCCAAATCAACTGATCACACATGTGTGCGTCCATTTCTAGACTGTATTCTGTTCCACTGATGTACATACCTATCCTTATGCCAGGATCAGATAGTGTTGACTACTGTAGCTGTACAATAAGCCCAGAAATCAGGTAGTGAATCCTCTTTATTATTATTCTTCAAAATTGTTTTGGCTCTTCTAGGTCCTCTGCATTTCCAAATAATTGTTAGAAAAAGCTCATCAATTTCTACAAAAGTTTGCTCTGATTCTGATTTGGATTGAATTGAAACTATAAATCAGTTTTAGGATAACTGAAATCTTAATACTGAGTCTTCTGATTCAAAAACAGGTTAAAAACCTTAACGCTTATTAAGGGTTTTGTTCATTTCTTTTGGCAATGTTTTCTGATTTTTTTTTTTTTTTTGCGGTACGCGGGCCTCTCACTGTTAGTGGCCTCTCCCGTTGCGGAGCACAGGCTCCGGACGCGCAGGCTCAGCAGCCATGGCTTCACGGGCCTAGCCGCTCTGCAGCATGTGGGATCTTCCCGGACCGGGGCATGAACCCGTGTCCCCTGCATCGGCAGGCAGACTCTCAACCACTGTGCCATCAGGGAAGCCCCATGTTTTCTGATTTTAAGTGTACAGGTCTTACATAAATTTTAAGTTTATTCCAAAGTATTTCATGTTTTTGATGCTATTTTAAATGATAGTGCTTTTAAAATTTTAATCCCTAATTGTTTATAGCCAGTGTACATAAATTCAATGATTTTTGTACAATGACCTTGATAAACTCACTTATTGGTTGTTGTAGCTTTATGTTATCATCTTTGAGATTTTCTATGTAGACAATCATGTTGTCCACACTGTCCTTTCCAATTCAATTACAGAATTACCTGATTCAATGAATTTCCCTACAGTTCTGAATGTGACATAAATGGAAACATACAATAGGTAGCCTCTGTATCTAGCTTCTTTCATTCAGCATAAAATACTTTGAAATTAAAAAAAAAAAAAACTTTGAAATTTACCTGTGTTGCTATTGCATGCATCAGTAGTTTGTTCCATTTTACTGACAAGCAGTATTCTACTCAATGAATGTACCACAATTTGTTTATCCATTTACCAACTGATGGACTTTTGGGTTGTTTACAATTTGTTATGAATAAAGCTGCTATGAACATTCACAGTCAGTCTCTGTATGGACATGTTTGCATATTCCTTCTGTAAACAATTAGCAGAAGGACTGCTTCACTGTATAAAAAGTATATGCTTAACGTTTTAGTCAGCTATCAACCTGTTTCCCAAAGTAGCTGTATTCTGAATTTCAATCAGCAATATATGAGATTTCCAGTTTATTTATTTATTTATTTATTTATTTATTTATTTATTTATTATGGCTGTGTTGGGTCTTTGTTGCTGCACGCGGGCTTTTCTCTAGTTGCGGTGAGTGCGGGCTACTCTTCGTTGTGGTGTGCGGGCTTCTCTTGCTGCGGATCACGGGCTCTAGGTGTGCGGCCTTCGGTAGTTGTGGCACACAGGCTCAGTAGTTGTGGCTTGTGGGCTCTAGAGCGCAGGCTCAGCAGCTGCAGTGCATGGACTTAGGTGCTCCGAAGCATGTGGGATCTTCCCAGACCAGGGCTCGAACCCATGTCCTCTGCATTGGCAGGCAGATTCTTAACTACTGTGCCACCAGGGAAGCCCCGATTTATATTCTTTTCCACACTTAATATTCTCGGTTTTTGTCACCCTAGTGAATGTGTAGTATCTCACTGTGTTTAATCTGCATTTCCCTGATGATGCTGAGCATCTTTTCATGTGCTTATCTGCCATTCTTATATCTTCTCTGAGCAAGTGTCTGTTCAAATCGTTTGTCCATTTTTAAACAATTGGGTTGTCTCATTACTGAGTTGTAAAAATTCTTCATATATTCTGCCACACAAATTTTTTATCAGAACTCCTTTGCCAGTCTGTGACTTGTTTTTTCACTTTCTTAACAGTGTCTTCTGAATAGGAAAAGTTTTAAATTTTTAGAAAGACCAATTTATCATTTTTTAAAGTGACTCTTGCCTTTTGTGTCCTAAGAAATCTTTACTCAAAGTCACAATAATTTTCTAAAACATTTTCTTTTTAAGGTTTTATACTTTAATTTTTACATTTAGGTCTATAATCCATTTCAAGGTAATTTTGTATATGGAGTGAGATAAGGGTCAAGATTCACCTTTTGGCAAATGGATGCCCAATTTTTCCTGCACCATTTGTTGAATGGACTCTTGTCCCTACTGAATTACTCTGGCATCCAAATCAACTGATCACACATGTGTGCGTCCATTTCTAGACTGTATTCTGTTCCACTGATGTACATACCTATCCTTATGCCAGGATCAGATAGTGTTGACTACTGTAGCTGTACAATAAGCCCAGAAATCAGGTAGTGAATCCTCTTTATTATTATTCTTCAAAATTGTTTTGGCTCTTCTAGGTCCTCTGCATTTCCAAATAATTGTTAGAAAAAGCTCATCAATTTCTACAAAAGTTTGCTCTGATTCTGATTTGGATTGAATTGAAACTATAAATCAGTTTTAGGATAACTGAAATCTTAATACTGAGTCTTCTGATTCAAAAACAGGTTAAAAACCTTAACGCTTATTAAGGGTTTTGTTCATTTCTTTTGGCAATGTTTTCTGATTTTTTTTTTTTTTTTTGCGGTACGCGGGCCTCTCACTGTTAGTGGCCTCTCCCGTTGCGGAGCACAGGCTCCGGACGCGCAGGCTCAGCAGCCATGGCTTCACGGGCCTAGCCGCTCTGCAGCATGTGGGATCTTCCCGGACCGGGGCATGAACCCGTGTCCCCTGCATCGGCAGGCAGACTCTCAACCACTGTGCCATCAGGGAAGCCCCATGTTTTCTGATTTTAAGTGTACAGGTCTTACATAAATTTTAAGTTTATTCCAAAGTATTTCATGTTTTTGATGCTATTTTAAATGATAGTGCTTTTAAAATTTTAATCCCTAATTGTTTATAGCCAGTGTACATAAATTCAATGATTTTTGTACAATGACCTTGATAAACTCACTTATTGGTTGTTGTAGCTTTATGTTATCATCTTTGAGATTTTCTATGTAGACAATCATGTTGTCCACACTGTCCTTTCCAATTCAATTACAGAATTACCTGATTCAATGAATTTTATAATTAGAGATCAATGCATTTACTTTAAACAAACCAACTAAACACAGAATTTAAAATCTATCTAGATATCTAGTATTTATTATAAGGGTCCCCTTGACCCCTAAGTCTGAATATTTCTATACATATAATTCTCTTAGAATTATTTACAACTCGCTTTAACATCACTTTTATGAATTGTGTTTTGGTAACATAGTATTATATTGAGGGAAGTATCCTCTCTCTGAAGATGATCTGTGGGAGTAACTTCCTTTTGATTTCAGAATCTGAAATACTTATACTTCTCCCAACCAATCAGTTTAACCTTACAGATGCAAGGTATTTTACACCTGATTCCTCAGGTTGGCTGTTAAAAACCTGTGAGCTGGGCTTCCCTGGTGGCACAGTGGTTGAGAGTCTGTCTGCTGATGCAGGGGAGGAGGGTTCATGTCCCGGTCCGGGAAGATCCCACATGCCGTGGAGCGGCTGGGCCCGTGAGCCATGGCCACTGAGCCTTCACGTCCAGAGCCTGTGCTCCGCAACGGGAGAGGCCACAACAGTGAGAGGCCCATGTACCGCAAAACAAAAACAGAAACAAAAACCTGTGAGCTAATGTTAACACTTACATAGCACTTCATGACCACATTTTCTCTCTTAACCTTGCTTGTGACTCTACCTTACTTTATTCAATTTTTCTTATTTCATATTTCTTATTTTAACTAATTTCATCTTGCATTACTGTAACCATCTTTCTAAATAAGAAGGGAAAAAAGTGTGTCTAGTAAAGTCCCCTAATATGTAATTATTAAGCCGTCTACCATCATATGACAACACATTCTGTATTAATAAACCATTCATGTTTATAGGACATTTCAGCTTACCAATAAGGGTAGTCCAGATCCACTACCAGAACTTTGTGACTGGTCAATAAGGTCTTTTAATGATTCCCCAACTGGAATAAATGCTTCATCCTGTTCCAAGTCACGATTGTAACGGCGTCTGCTTGAGATGCTCTTGCAATAATGTCTTTTAAAAAAGCAGAAAATAATCTACATTAACATTCTAAAACTATAAAATTCTAAGGTAAGAAAAATCCTGAGGTTGTTGACACTATTATCCTTCCTTCATCACATGGGTTCATATCCAAATTAGTCTTATCATAGAAAAATATATCCTCTGTTAAAATAATGTCCAGAAATGGAGTTTATGAGGTAGAGAGCTATATACTATCTTAAAACGGAAAGACGTCCATGGTACATTGGCAAGTGAAAAACACAGATTAAAAAACAGCATGTAAAGTATGATCCTAGCTATAAACATTTTTAAATTATATGTATCTATACTTGTCTAAAAGGATCAGAAATATATCAAGTTGTATATAATAGTTATTGCTGGGAATGTAGGAATATTTACTTTCTACTTTACATATGTATTTTCATCTGAATTTGTAAGCATGTAGTTTTGTATCAAAATGAACAATAAATATACTTCCATTTTAAAAAAGAGTTTATGGAAAAGAAATCAAACAGGTTCTCTTAATTCATTCTAATATTTTCAAAGGCTTTTTAAAAAATTTTCAAATTATGAAATGTTTCAAACATGTAGGAAGGTAGAGATTAATTTATTTGGCACCCATGTGTAAGCCATTTACATTTAATAAATATTGACATTATGCTATGTTTATTTTAGATATATTTTAAATAAATAAACATTAAAATATTTGCAGCTGCAGCCATTTCCCTCATAATTCCATTTCCCTCATTTACTCCTAAGAGACAAACACTACCCTGAAGGTGGTTATATCCTTCCTATCTATGTATTTATACCTTTACCATAAAAGTATATACTCATAAACAACATCGTTCTTCTGGACACAAATGGCATATGTTGTATTAATATTTTACATCATGCTTTAAAAAACTCCTTATGCATTACATATTTACCCATGTTGACACATGTTAAAAAAAACAATAGCTCATTTTTATTGATGCTGAGTGTGTGTCAGGCACTGTTCTATGACTTACTTCATCTTTATTAAACTCGTAAGAGGTAAGTACTATTGTTTCCATTTTACAAAAGAGAAAACCATGGCCCAGAGGCTCATCATTTGTCCCAAGTCAGACAGCTGGCTAATTATTCTCCAATACTGAGGCAAGATCCTTCTGGGTATTATAACCAAAACCCCATGAATTATGAGGTTTTCAAGTCACATAGCTGGTGGGAACAGATACTATCCCCAGCCTTGTGTGAGCACTGAATACTGTTTCCTTCAATCTTTTCAGCGGTTCTTTCCCAGCCTTAGGTGGTTTCCTCACTTGAACACACTGATCAAGATTCAGCTGAATATTCTATGGGAACATTCTGAAGATGTCTGGAGTTCTTTCTCTGTGAAAACTCTCCTTTCCAGTACTCTGTACCTATGAACTATAGCTGCTGCTCTCTCCCCAGACTCTCAGCTGTATCTCCTCGATTCGGCGTCTGCTGGGCTACACCTGAGTTCTTCCTGTGTCCCGCAGCCAGAAACTCTCTTCAGGGAGTAAGCTGGGCAATCACAAGACTCACCTCATTTGTTTCCTGTTTCTCAGGGATCAGTGCCCTTCACTGGCTGATTGGCAGCTATTAGTATGCGATTGGGGCTTACTGATTACAGGTTTCACTGTAAGACAATCTGCTTGGGCCATTTCACTGGACTTTAACTAGAGACAGAATACTCAGGTCTTTTTTCTTGGGCTAGATGGATTTTCCCCAAGAACAATCTTCTTATATGTTATCTAGAGGGAACATGCTTGGTTAGCAGGGTTCTGGAGGGTAGGGGGGCCCACAAATTAGTATGTAAATATTCACTTTACCTCATTTTTATTATAATACCTCACCCTCAATAATGGGATACCATAGCTGAGAACATTTTTGTTCTTTTCAGAGACTACACTTCTAGCCTTCTGTTAAAGAGATGGTGGAAAGTCACATCATTATTCAGAAAAAGAGTAGGGATCTCAACATCTGTGGTATTTGGCATCCAAAATGGCCCACAAAATTTCTCAACTCCTGGTATGCCTGCCTTGTTTACTTCCCTTCCATAAAGCAGAGCTCATCTCTGTGACCAACAGAATATGGCAGAAGTGATGGTGTCACTTCTGAGTCTAGATCATAAACAGCACTGCAGCTTCCACCTTGGTCTCCAGGATCACTCACTCTGGGGGGTGCGGGGGAACCAGGCCTCATGCTGTGAGGAAGCTCATGCAGGCAGCTCAGTAGAGAGGCTCACATCAGAGGAACTAAGGTCTCCTGCCAACTTGTGAGCCTCGGAAGTGAGCTATCTTGGAAGGGGATCTACCAGCTCCACTCAAGCCTCCAGGTGAGCGCAGCCTCTGCTGACATCTGAGCCACTCAGTCAAGTCACTCCGGAAGTCCTGACCCACAGAAACAATGAGATAATAACTGCTGTTTCAAGCCACTAAGTTTGGGAGTGATTTCTTAATGCAGTATTGCATAACTAATACAGCATCTGACTTTCTAAAAACAGACTTTCAAGCAATCCTCTTGGTTTTACTGCCCGCCTCAACTTCACTACCATAGATAACTGCTACTGCCAATTGAGCTTCTTGGGGAATTTTACAGTATAAACTGGTTGCTGTTTGTCTTTCTCATTTTCTAGCCTGGGATTCAGATTTCTTAGGTCTACAAAGTCACTACTCATCCATAAGCTTCACAGGTTCCACAGCTTTTTGCTGTTATCTTGTCTCCTTGTCCTGGTTGGACAAAAAAGTTAAAAACTCTTTATTGCTGTTTTAGTGGGGCACAACAAAAGTAAGTATGCTCAATCTATTTCTTTATCTAAAAAGTCTATTATCAAACATTTGAACCTTTGCCAGTATAATGGGTAAAAAATATCTCAGTATGATTCTAATTTATATTTTTCATATTATGAGTATTCTTAAGTCATCTTTTTATTTTTAAGAGCCATATTTATTTCTCTTTAGGTAAAAATATACGCTCATTTTTTGGGGCCTAATTTCCCACTGAATTGATTTTTTTCTTTTTGATTTATAGAAGCTCTTTACATTTGAGAAATCAGCTCTTTGTAATATAAGCTGTGGATATTTTTCACTGTTGGTCTGTCTTCTGACCATTTATGGTGGTTTCTACCACATAGTAAAGTTTTATTTTTATGTAGTTGACACCATCAATCTTTTCTTTTTTAATTTTAAGGTTTTGGTTTTTTGGTTTTTTTGCTTGTAAGTTTTGTGTCAGACTCAGATTATTTTAAAAAATTCTTCCAAGGTTTGTTCTAATATTTTAATCAATTCAGTTTATATATATAGTTTATATATATATATATATATATATATATATATATATATATATAGAGAGAGAGAGAGAGAGAGAGAGAGAGAGAGAGAGAAAGGGTGAGCGAGCACCCCAACCTGGCTAAAATTTATTTCAGTGTACGGAATTGATTCAACTTTATTTTCTTCCATATAGCTATCCACTCCCAAATCCACTTACTGAATAAGCCAACTTTTCCTCAGTGATCTGAAATGTTACCTTTATCATATACTAACTTTCTTTATATACTTGGGTCTACTTATGGGTCTAGTAACGAATTCCATTGATCTCTCTGTTTATTCATATGCCAGTAAGATAATATTTTATTATTTAAGTTTATGCCCTCCTCTTATTGCTCTTCTGGCAACTGTCTTCTGAAATCATGACTAAATGCAAACAATTCTGAACTGCCAAATAACTAAAGAATGATAATACATACAGTTGATTTCTTGGGACAGGTTTTTAAATTTAGATATAAGAAAGTTCAATATTCTATAAATAAGAAAATCTTAAGTACTCATGAATATAACAAGAAGTATAATGTTGTGTCCAATTAATTGATTAGTAGTAAGGCTTCTGTTCCCTTAAGAAAACTATAATATAGTTAATTAAAGGAGATAACCAGAAAATACAAGTTAATGGTTCCTGAAATACATTCAGTGTCAATGGTTTCTGCCTACTGGCTTTAAGAGCAACTGTTTATATCTAATAGTCAACAAAATATTTTGCATCAAAATAATTATCTTACTTGTAACAAAAGCAGCTGGAGAAGATGATCATAGCAATTATGCAGACAGCCATAGAAATGAGCAAAGCCAGCCATCGAATGCTGCCATCGAAAAATGGACCTGATAATGGAAGTAAACAATGAAAAAGACATATTATCTTTCGATCACATCTTAAAAGGAAAAAATAACTTGTAGTGTTGAACTCTAGAAAGCTTGCTTATTGTTAAAACCAGAGAAAATATTTTACTGAGAATCATGATTGCACTTTTCTCTGCTAACCTACCTATAACAACAGGGGGCAGTGTAGGTTGTAAATACTGGTTACATAAGTTGGTCCGACAACATTCTATTGTCCGGCGTAGCTGGGCTTTTGGTGAATCCTAAAGGAAGAAAATTAGAAAAAATTTGATACATGAAACTGATAATTAATTTTTAAAATATTCATAAAATACAGTTTATAATTCAGTAAGTGAAAAGGACTTGCTACGTTTGTGTGAAAGTGATTATTGAAAAATTTAAATCTATGGTGAAATAGTGTTGTAAAGACTCTAAAATGTTTTTTCTTAAGGAGAATGTATGTATGTGGATGGTGTGTTAGAACACTACACTATAACTTAATTACAGATAAACAAAAGTTTATATATATTTTTCACCCAAAATTTGGCATATCTTAAGATATGACTATTCATTTGTTTTTAGTAAAGAAGTATTTAAAATCATGAGATCTTTTCCTAAAAAACATGGGTAATACATTTTATTACAGTGATAAACTAGCAGGGTAAATATGATCTCATAGTAGTATTGAGACTTAGTTGGATGAGACTTAAGATCTGACTAAAAAGTGGAGCGTGTCCTAGGCCAGAGAAATGACAGGTTAGAAAAGGTAGTCAAGTAGGCAGAAGATACAGTTGATGCTGCCTATAACAACAATGCGGAAACTAACGAACCTGATACGGAAGCAAGTTGAAGTGTACGTGGTGAGGATAAGGTCAAAATATAGAAACAATATTTCTGAGAGTTTTGGGGAGACCACCAACCAGATATGTGTCCCTAATACATCAAAAAATGAGCACAGGGAAAGACTGTAGTCATGGGAACAGATACCAAAAATTATATGTGAAGTTTTATTTGATTAAAAGTATAGTATTTGAGAAGTTCTTAACTTGAATGCTGACATTTCAGCACTACCTGCAAGAAGTGCCATTCTAGACCAAAACAGTAACAGAAAGGAATTGTCTGTCATCATAGACGTAGCAAGGATATAAGCAGAAACCAACCTTCTTATTCTTAAATATCAGATGGGCAGAAAGGAGAAACCTCGGTATAATCAGGTATTCCTTTAAAAATGTGAAAATGAGATTCCACAGGGGAATCTATATGGGATTCTATAAGGGACTTGAGATTATATAAGAGAAGATGAGTCAAGAGTACTTGGAAACCTCCAAAAGCACAAGTTTTACATTTGAACTGAATTTTTAACTTTCTAACAATTGTTTTTACTTTTAAATGATCATAAAAAGAAAGAAAAGAGAGACATGTCAGAAGTTACACAGGTGACTCTGAAAAAAATATCCCAGATCTAGAGAAAACTTACATGAAGGATGGAATGAAGAGTATACAACTAAGATGAATAAAAGAAGCGTGAAGCATCCAAGAATAGTCCCAGTATGGCTAAAGTTCAAAATGAGCTCAGCCTTGCAGGACAGAAAATGTGAAGAAAAATCAGGAAGGGGTTTTTGGCAGTGCTAGAAGAAAGACCACCAAGCAATGGATGTAGTACTGGTGACAAAATACTAGGTAATGGAGGACAAAGAAAATGAACACTTCCTTAACTCTCATTTTGTTCCAGTCTTCTCCATCAAGGATGACTGCAGGAATGAACAAGGCAGACCAAACGCTAGTAAGTGGGATTGGTATCCCAGAAGTATGCAGAGACCCTACAATGTTTCTGTGTTCTGTCTGAATTCCCATCTTCTCAGCTAGGTGAACTACATCACACGAAGTTGAGGGCACTTGGGAGAAGGCTGAAAGTGGTATGATTTAAAGATTTTAGAAACGAGGAGTGCTGTAAACTAGATAGCTAAATGTTATATTACTTTTAAAAGGGAAAGAAAGACTTTGCCAACAACAGATTGGGGGCAGCACAGTATTATGGAAACAACAAGGATTTGGGAATCAAATAGCTGAAATCACAGCTTTGCCATTTATTAACTTTGTGACCCTGAGCAATGAACTTACTTCTCTCTGGGCTTTAGTTTCCTCTGCTATAAGACGGAGGATAAAAAACACCTGCCTTATAGGGTAACTGGGAGAAAATGAGGTAAAATATACCAAGCACTTAGCATATTAAATGCAAATAGTAAATGTTCAATAAATTAATTCTTCTTCCTCTAGTGAATGTGACAGATCCCAGCTGACATTCTAGAATAAGTCACAAATGCTTGTAATCTCCTGGAAGACTCAATGTGGCTTCACTGAGAACAAGCAACATGAAACTCACATCTTTCTTATGTAGGTTAACTATGTATCTGGGTAGGCAAAAGTTACGTGCGTCTAGATTATGAAGTTGGGTGACACAACCTTTCCGGGTCCTGCACTCCCTACTCCCATGCTCCACCCAAGTCTATTTGTATCTCTGGATTTAGGTGGGCAATAAAAATCCTTGTGGGGAAAAAACTCACTTGGCATTCACAAAATAGGAGATTCTAACTTATTTAGTGAGCTTGAATGGGGGTGTTGCAGGTGAGGGGGAGTGGTACACGATAAAGGAACTGAAACCAAATTACAAGAAATGGCAGTGCGGTTTCTGAGAAATAATTCATCCTACTGGAAGAAACAGAATAAGCCAGATTTACCTACAGAGACTGGATTGTGTGAGGGAAAATCAAGGTCTGGGTGAAGCATGGTGATTATCACTTGAACTTGTTTTGATTCAAACCTGACAGTATGTGAAAGCACTGGGAGGAAAAAGGTTAGGTAAAAGTAGCAGAGCTGTTCTGCTCAGATTAGGTGCCAGGTAAATTCAGAGTGAGATATAGCAAGATACACAGAAAGTGAGATAAGTGGTGGTCAACATGTTCTGTCTGTGTAACCCCTAAATGAATTCTGAAAAACAATGTATCCCCTCATATATTTTTAGACTGACACCTAAAATTTCTCATCATAAATAGCTGCAAAGAATGTATTGATAATTCCGTGCATATTGGCACGATATTTTAAAATAAAATTAAAATAACTCTTAAATCTATTCAGTAGAATCTAAATAATATAGCAGTTCAATACCCATTATCATTATTTAAAAAAATAAATGGTCAAAATGCTTCTTTAACAATTGAAAATTTTATAGTGTTCCTTTTGCTCCTTGAGCTCCTATTCCGTTTCCACATTTTCCACAATAATTATGTCCTAATGTTCATGGAGAGGGGGAAGGGTAAGCCGGGCCGAAGTGAGAGAGTGGCATAGACATATATACACTACCACATGTAAAACAGATAGCTAGTGGGAAGCAGCCGCATAGCACAGGGAGATCAGCTCGGTGCTTTGTGACCACCTAGAGGGGTGAGATAGGGAGGGCAGGAGGGAGACGCAAGAGAGAGGAGATATGGGGATACATGTATATGTATAGCTGATTCACTCTGTTATAAAGCAGAAACTAACACAACATTGTAAAGCAATAATACTCCAATAAAGATGTTAAAAAAAATTGTCCTAATGTAATACGTATCTTGATAAATAATTCTCCACATGAAAAATAAACATATATAATCTATTTTATTTCCTGTGATAGTATGTCTTTAAGTCAAAAAATTATTTTGGTTTGACTTATCATCACAATTATTATTAGTATAAAATTAATCAAACCTGTACATATATTATAATCTTTATTAAAATACTAATATAAAAAGAAAATTTTATTGGAGAGGGTATGAGATGAATGACACTTAAAAAAACTACTTCCTAAGTCCATGGATAATTACTTATTGCTAGAACGAGAAAGTTTGGCACTAACTTTAATCCTATTTTTATCTTTTCCTTTTTTGGGGTCAGTACTAAGATTCTTTGTTCACATAAACAAAAAGGTGATAATGGAAGGAACTAGTTATACCATTGTCCCATAATTCTTTAGAGACCTTCCAATCCTATGCTAAAACTCCTATAATGATCCTATTAGGAAAAATTATTTTACATGATCTAGCAAATTGGTTGAAAGCAGAAAATGAAAAACTACCAGATACGCAAATATATCTGCTATCCCCAAGTTCCCCACACTGATACTTAGATTTCAAATTATAACACTGTTTGGAAACTTGAGTATTTACATTCCAGGCCGCTAATCTGGAAACTGTGACAAGGCTGATTGTGAAAAGGAAGGAAGGAAAAGAGAAATTGCTTAAGAAGCTCTGGTCTCAGGCAGATCAATATTAAGCAGTAGGACCTGTGGAAGTTCATGATAGGTAAACCGATCCCCTTAAAACTATCCATGTGCCTATGCGATCCTTGTGTAATGTAGTCTGTGTGCACCTAGATATATGCGTGACCCAGTTTAAAGCCTGCTTGGTTACATCACCAATATGGTAAAAGCTAACATTTACTAAGTCCTTACTATGTGCCAGTTGTGCTAAACTCTTTGCATATATGCTACCTCTCATTTGACCCTTACAAGAACTCCTTTGCTGATGAGAAAACAACTTAAGAGAGTAAAGCTCCCTGCTCAAAGTTCCACAGCTAGCAAGAGGCAGCATGTCTATCTGAACACAGATTGTCAAGCTTAACAACTAAATTACATTGATAAATTCATTTGGGACACATCTAGTCGAGGGGGCCTGCGAGACACTGGTTACTACTGTTGAGCTCAGTGCTTTAACCACAGAGAGGTCTTTCTTCAACATTTTAAAGTGATTAAACAGTGTACTGTAGTGCGGCTGATAAATACGCAAATAGCATAAAACTGGAGGAGACAAACAAATCAGCATCCCCCAAATCCTGACAAATTAGAGCAAAGGATTAATTTTAATACAATGAAATTTAACTTAGACAAGTATGTGACAATTGTGTAACAAAACTCATTCCATTCCCACCTACTTGTTTGTGTCAAGAAACCAACAGCACCAATAAAGAATGGAAGAGATAAGGATGAGCAGAAGCATGAGTGAAAGACATGGGGATTTCAGCTGACAGAAAACTCCATATATTTCAAGAATATGGTATGACAATCAAACCTCTAACATGAGACTTGGCTGCATTTAGGAAAAGGGAAAGGAGTTACTAATTCTTGTTTTTTTTTTCTCCTTCTTTTCTTCTGGCCAGACCACAGTCAATTCTGCATCTTACATTGAGAAACTGAAGAGTGAGTAACTCTAAAGCTGATGATTATAAGGGGCCGTTGAAGTCATTTTGAACTACTATTTTCACTGGGCAAAGACTATAGGGTATGGGGAGTAAAGCGATACAAAAAAAAATTTCTTCACATAGTAAAGGGCTACCATATTAAAAAGGGATTCAATTAGTTCTCTATGGTCCAAGGAAGTACAAAGGAAGAGAGACTTGCAGTCATTCAGAGGAAAAGCTTTCTAAGGATAAGGTCAGGTCATTACTACAGATGAAAAAGGTGGGCTTGGGAGGTAATGAGCCCCTGTCACTAGAGGTGTAGCAAACAGAAAACAGATGGGATGCAATATGTGCGTGTATGTATGTTTGTGTGTGTGTGTGCTCGCGTGCGTGCATGTGTGGTTTCTATCAACCCTGAGAACTTCTCATTAATTGGAATAATTTTCTAAAATAGCTGAGGCTTAAATTTGTTAACAAACAGCTCTCTCTGGAGCTGTTTTCAAAAACATTGGAAGGATCCCCTGGGGCAAAATTACTATACAGGATTTTGAAGAGATTAGCTTTATAACCCAAAGCCATCAATATGTTCATAAACTATTACTGATCCTCTGATACCTTTGCTGTGCTGTTAAAGTAACTCCACTGAGATCTCCTTACAAGGACTTAAGGTCTCTAAGTTGTCTCAGAGAGATATAAAGGTTATTTACCTGTCACCTTAAAGTCTTTTCAGTCACTTTTATAATCCAGAAATAAGTGTGACAGTATCATTTTTTACAGGCTTGACAATTAAAAAAAAAAGATGATTTAAAACTTATTTTAAAGTAAAATAATCTGTAATTTCAATTGGCACAATCATATAACCTGAAGCAAGAGCTAAGCTTCCTCCAACATATTTGCTTCCAGAACACACAGCAATGTGCAGACCAGGCACAGTTCTCCTTGGGGAATCAACGCTTTTCCTGTGGTCCCTCCCTTCTTTATTTCATAGGCCTCAAATTAGGTCTTACCTTGCACTGAAAATCAGATCCTTCATATTTCATACACCCTGAAGCCAACGTGGTTTCTCCCTGGTCATCTTCTTCTATGATGGCAAAGCAATGTCCATTAGTTCTAAAAGAAAAAAAGCCAAAAAACCAAAAACCAACTTCACATTGGAAAGTACTAATTAAATCTCAGTATGAATGTGACCAGTTACTGATCTGATGGCTTTTAGTTCTGAATTAGAATTACATTCACATTTGACTTACTGGCAAAACCATACGCATTTTAAGGCAAATGAAAATTGTCACATCTGAACTAAAACCTAAAGGTCTAATAAAAATCCTGTGTCAGGTAGAAAAGGATTTTCTATTAAACAAGTCCCACCAAATATGAAATACTATGTAACTTCTCTTTGCTAATCATAGTCATGTGATCACAGAAAGATGATTTATACAACTTTATAAAGTAAATAATCTTAACGCTTAAAAATATACTTAAAAATAACTTTATCTCTTTTCATCCATAAGATTTTCAGTATTCCCATAGTGTACACAATAATAAATAAAAACAAACTTTCCTGTGAAACATAAAAATAGATTCAATGAAAAGAAAAGTATATTTGGGAAGACCAGACTAACTAAGATCCTGAGAGGCACTTTTTATTTAACATGATAGGAAAAAAGGGAGAACTTTTGAATAGCTGAATTTTCAAGAAATTTATATAAATGGATTTGTATTTAATAAAATGTTATCGGGACTTCCCTGGTGGCACAGTGGTTAAGAAACCGCCTGCCAATGCAGGGGACATGGGTTTGAACCCTGGTCCGGGAAGATCCCACATGCCGCGGAGCAACTAAGCCTGTGTGCCACAACTACTGAGCCTGCGCTCTAAAGCCCGCGAGCCACAACTACTGAAGCCCGCGCGCCTAGAGCCCGCGCTCCGCAACAAGTGAAACCACCGCAATGAGAAACCTGTGCACCACAACGAAGAGTAGCCCCCGCTCGCCACAACTAGAGAAAGCCCACACGCAGCAACGACTACCCAATGCAACCAAAAATAAATTAAAATAAAATAAAATAAAATGAAAAATTGGAAAACCCCAGAGGGGAGTATCTTTAAAAAAAAAAGTTATCATTTTAGTACCAGTATGCCAGAATTTTCTCCTAATATATTCATTAGGCTTTCATGGGTAGGAAGAAACAACTAAAAGATTCTTTTGTGTCCCTCCTTACTGTTCATATGAGTAAGTATACTGCTTACAGTTAAAAGAATATTGCATAATTATTCATTTTCTGAAATGAGAAAATGTTATGTGTGAGGTGAAATTCTGTTAAAATTGATGATTCCCAGTTTTACTCTGGGTTACTAAGCCTCTAACAAATAGCCCACACAGATCAAGCAAGAACTACAGACAAGAAGTCTGGCAAGAAGTCTCTTGGTGACACAGGGAACACTCCCTTAACAACAGATCACCCAGTCTGCCACAGTAAAGTCAACCACCACCAGCACAAACAACAAATCTAAGACATGGTGAACCATCATATAATTTCAGTGTTTTATATGTATACATTTTGGCTTTATGTATACATTTGGTCACATTCAAAGAGCATAAAATTATTAGGGAAGTACAAAACAAATCAATAATTGTTGATTATTACACCTTTATAACAGGGGGACAACTGACTGATGAGATTGAGTCGTTCAGGGAATTTTTTTGGCTAGTAAGTCAATTCTTCAATGTCCCCCAAGAATATGGAATAGAATTACATGATCATATATAAATTAATTAATTAATTCATTAACATGAAATTAAGTAGAAAAATTAAAGTGGTTATATAAATCAGATTTGGATTTGGGAGTTCACATAAGAAAGTAACACAAAATTAATTAAATATCACAATATCATTCTTATAGACCTGCAAAATATTTCAACCAATTTATTTATTTAATAGGAAGGTTTTTTTAAAAAATAACATTTATTTATTTATTTATGGCTGCATTGCGTCTTTGTGCGCAGGCTTTCTCTAGTTGAGGTGAGGTGGCTTCTCTTGTTGTGGAGCATGGGCTCTAGGCATGCGAGCTTCAGTAGTTGTGGCACGTGGGCTCAGTAGTTGTGGCTCGGGGGCTCTAGAGCACAGGCTCAGTAGTTGTGGCGCACGGGCTTAGGTGCTCCGTGGCATGTGGGATCTTCCCAGACCAGGGCTCGAACCTGTGTCCCCTGCATTGGCAGGCAGATTCTCAACCACTGCACCACCAGGGAAGCCCCTATTTCAACCAATTTAGAAGTACAAGGTTTTAGGTGAATTTTCAAGGTTTCTTTTTGGTAATCTCTAAGTTTTCTACAATGAATATCAATCACTTTATGATAAAAAGATCACTAAATAAACCCAAAATGCTAGACAAATACCAGATTCCTTTTAACTCTTTAAAACCTATATTACTCTAAGGAAATAACCATCAATCACTTAGTAGTAATAAATGTTCCTATATAAAAAACAAGAAGCTTTTGGCTCTTTGGAAAAACCGTATAAAGTTAAAGAAACAAAATTCAGACAAAGTAAACAATTCTTAAAATAGTACTAAGTGCAACCCTATTCTCGTAACTTTAAGAAGAACTGCATAAAATACTTACATGCATGTGTTATTAATAGCATCATCCGGGCAGTGTCCTGAGCAATAGCACTTTAAAAAAGGCAAGGTATCCTCTGGTGCTAAGGTTACTCCATTTTCTGGCTTTTTCTGGTCGGAGTCTGATTTCATCCCAGTACCATGGAGCATACTGTCTAGATTCTGCCCTGCATTCAAACACGAAGTTGTAAATAAACCATTCTGAAAAGCTAATTCTTTTATTCCAATTTTCAGTGAGAAGTTTCTAAGCTTTCTTATTGTATTAATTGCAGCTAATGTGTGTTTTAATTAAAAATAAATTTCATTCATATGACTAACATTTATTAACAGCCTAAAATGCACGGAAAAACTATCCCAGGTATTGTGGGATATATGGAGATGATTAGGTCACAATTTTTGCACTAGTGAAAGACAAGAGTGGCACAAGGTAGAATATGGTCATAACTTGTAAGAAAGGTACAAAATGGAAAGCAGTTTCAGAGAAGAGCGAGATTATTTCCAATCATTAAAAAATATGGGGGCTTCCCTGGTGGCGCAGTGGTTGAGAGTCCGCCTGCCGATGC